AAGGGGGCCTATAAGAAAGATGGGGGAAAACTTTTTAGCAGGGCTTGTTGCTACAGGACAAGGGGGAATGGCTTTAACCTAAAGGGGGGTAGATTTAGACTAGATATAAGGAAGAAATGTGCTACACTGAGGGTGGTGAAACACTGGCACAGGTTGCCCAGAGAGGTGGTGGATGCCCCATCCCTGGAAACATTCAAGGTCAGGCTGGACGGGGCTCTGAGCAACCTGATCTAGTTGAAGATGTCCCTGCCCATGGCAGGGGGGTTGGACTAGATGACCTTTAGAGGTCCCTTCCAACCCAAACTATTCTATGATTCTATAAAGGCAAAGGCCCTATATATGCAAATGGTCTTCACTTCCATGCTGTTTGTGTTTTAGCATCCTTAGCAAATGTCCCTTCAGGAAGGGAGAGAATGGAGGGGGTTAAAAAGCCTGAACTCTTGTAGGTTTGGAGACTTAGATGCTCACACGCAACTGCAACTCCACATGCTTCTGATTTGTCCTATACTTTATAGACCATAAATATAATGATGTTTTAATGGCAGAATAATGATCTAAGTTTAATATTATCTGGAGTGTTTGTGCAGAACATGTTAATCTGGGAATAACCATCATTGTCCATCATCTTGAACAGCTGCTAGCAGAATATGCAGTCTCACCCTGAGAATGATGACTTCACATTTTAAAAAGGCTACAGGCATGAGCAAAAGAATAGGAACAGAATGAGAACATTGGATCAACTGAGGACTTAAACAGCATAATGTTTGGAAGATCATGAGACACTCTCCCATTTTCTGCAAAGGGAGTTTTCTTATTAAACTCCCAGATGTCTCTGAAGGCATCAATAAAGAATGGCTTCATGTAGACTTCCAAAAGCTCTTTTTCAAGATGTGAGATGCTATTGGGGGGGGGGGGGGCGGGAGAAGGGGGGGGGGGACGACAAAACAAAAAAAAACCCTTCTAATTTGGGGGAGAGTTACAGAAGTTTCATGGGCCAAGAACTTCCTGAGAGGAGGGTAAGAGCAGAATTCTTTCATCATGGTTGGAAGGCGAAGAGGGTTTTTCCAGGTTCATGGGAGTTGTTTTGTGTTTCCCCGGTTGGTTAGTGGTCTGGAAAGGAAATGAGGTTAGAATGGTTGAAGTTGCAGCATTGGCAGGTGACACCACAGCTCTTTTCCTAATAAACAAGAAGGGCCGTGAGGAACTGCAAAGAATTAAGTGATTTACATGAATGGGCACCGCAGTGATCAAATTTGGTGTTGATAAATACCAAGTAAAGCATGAAGAGGGAAAAATAACTATTTGTGCACGCTAGACGCTCCAAATGAACTTGAGAGACAAGTCAAAAAGCTCAGTGGAAGTTCTGCTTACTGTGATTTTTCCAGTCAAAATCACCAGTGGAATGTTGGGATGCATACAGTGTTGGAATGGTTAAAAATTAAATGAAGAGATAATTCTGTATATCAGTTTGTACCTCACTTGTGAATCTGTGCATAGCACTTCACCTTATTCAAAATGGTTATTGCATAGCTAATACTGTTTGGCATTAGAAGAAAGATAAATAAGAAGGAACGCAAATTTTAAATGTAGAATAATGAGTAAGGTAGAAGAGCTTGGGTAAGTCTAAATGGATGGCAGATTTGATTCAATGTATTGTTTTTCAGTACTGGTGTGTGAACTCTGTTAACTCTAGCATATGGCAGGGGGGAGAAAAGAGTTGATTTTCCTGTTGATTTTTCTGAATTTCCTGAAGTGTAGGACACGTGTTGATCCAGTTACAGATTCTAATATGGTCAATGCAAAAATTACCACCAGTTTAGCACAAATATGCCTAGCTGTAAGCAGTTATTCCGGAATAAATACTTCAGACTTGAATTTTCAAGTTACAGTAATTCACCTCAGTGTTGTCCCAGAAAGAGGTGGTCTGTGCCAAGCAAAAGCATGTGGAGACTGTTATGAGGCTACCTCTCCCTGCTGTTCCTTTTGACTTCTGGCTGGAAGTGGAAAATGGGGGCTATGTTTTTGTCCTGAATAAAAAAATCAAAATCTCTTATATGCTCCATATCCCACAGCTAGTGCACCAGTTACCTCTTTCTTTGTTTGCCTCAGGACAATAAAATGCTGAGGGGATTGCATACATTTATCTAAATCAGAGCCCTTCTAAATAAGGATCCATTTCTTTTTGCAGGGTGTTTGCCCAAGGGATTCCTGTTTTCCATCAAATTGTGTGCAGTGATCTCCTAAGTGGAGGAGAAGCAATCTGTTTCTATTTATCCAAAAGTCTGAGTCAATTTTAATGGTTGAGATTGTGGACAAGATGTTAGATTTTCAGCTTGGTGGGCCCTCAGAGGCGATGGTTTGAGGTGGCTGGTGTTTCAAGTGGTCGTTTTCCACTTCAAGGGTTTTGCTTCTGTTTTCTTCCCTTTCTAATTCCTAGATTTAACTGACGCATCAGGACACAGCGGCTGAGGACATACTTGTTCTGCATTTGTTTCTAAGGACAATATCTATCATGGAGAATAAATTAGCATATATATTCCTTTTCTAGAAAATGTCAGATGGAGCTTTGGCCAGCCAGAGCTTGATACACTAAAATGCTGCCAAACTTTTATCACTTACAATGCAGAAGATCAATTGTCTGAACCTTTTTTTCGTCAGTGACTTCACTGTGTGTTGACATTTGCACGTACATGTAGGGAGGTGCAGGTGATGTTAGGAAGAAACAGTCACTTATACTTAATTACTGACTCCTTTAGTGAGACGGTGTAAAACTCTCTCTGCTCTGATGTTTCCTCAGGAAAATGAACTGGTTTATTTTAAAATTCAGGAAACTTTCTGTGTTTTCTATTAGAAGCTATATGATTTTTTTTTTCCTTCATTTTTACCCTTCTCCTGTGCTCTGGAGCTTTTCAGATTCTCAACAATGGCTTGGCTTGCCCAGCTTGTTTGGATTACAAAAGGTTATTGTCTTTGGGTTTGTCATAATGCATTTGGCCTTTTTTTTTTTTTGCTTTTTGCTTTTTCTTTCTTTTTTTCTTTTTTCATGTGAAGTTTCCACACTGGCTTTGTCTCAACAGCCCACAGTGGTAGCAGAGCTGCCAAGTTTCCCCACAGCATTAGGACAACCACTGATCCAGCAATGTGTACCGCATCGCTAGTCCAGGCTGCCTGTAACTGCTTTGAGACCAGCCTTTCCCTTCTCCCTCCGGCTCTCCCACCCTTTCTCCTTTCTCTGCATTGGCAGTCGGGATGAGAAATCCGCCGTATTAAATGTATCTAAAATAAATCCCACTTAGGTGGGAGCTGACCGTCAGCTGCCCCTCCTGCACTCTTGCCCCACGCGCATTGTGGTTGAGCAACCATTGTAAAACGTGTACTGTAGCTGGCAAGGCATCTTAAGAGCTGTGTCTCCTGCTGAACAAGCCTCTGAGCTGTCTCGAGCTGTAATTTGCTGGCAGACATCTGTGTTGCTGACAGTCTTTCACAGCTGGGTCTCTGGGCTGGGGTTTTCAGGCCCCTGGCTTGTAGAGGTTAAACTTGTATCGGGGAGAGGGTGGTTCTGGTGACTTTGGCAAGTCCTGGCAACAATAGCATCAGGGAAGACTGGCCACGTAAGCAAAGCGCTGCCAGCGCTAAAAAGGGATGAGGGTAGCCTGAGGTAGAAATATATGGAAGGAAAAAAGCAGGCCTGACGATACCTGCTCCTTTAAAGGACTGCACAGAATTAGTATTCTCTGTCTCCACCTTTTCTTTAGAAGTTAAGACACGGTCGGTCAGGTTTTCTTTACTCGTGGGTAAATCCAGTGTGAACAATTTTGAAG